AACCTTGGGCTATAGCCTTGTGTATTTTTCAAATTTTGGCAAATTTTTTAAATGGCCGTAACTCTAAAAATTCAAGTCAGATTCAGCTCAAACTTTCTACACAGCATAAGGACATCAATACGTATCAGAAAATTTAATAAAAATTGTGAGTGATTTTTTAGCCATTTTTTGGAAAAACCATGGGCTATAGCCTTGTGTATTTTTCAAATTTTGGCTTTTTAAAATAACCGTAACACAAAAAATTTAATTCGGAATCAGCTCAAACTTTCTACACAGCATAAGGACATCAATATGTATCAGAAAATGTAATAAAAATTGAAGGTGATATTTTAGCTATTTTTCAGAAAAAACTTTGGTCTATAGCCTTGTGTATTTTTAATTTTGGCAAATTTTTTAAAATGGCCATAACACAAAAACTTTAATTCGGAATCAGCTCAAACTTTCTACAAAGCATAAGGACATCAATATCTATCAGGAAATGTAATAAAAATTGAGGGTGATATTTTAGCCATTTTTCGGAAAAACCTAAGGCTAAGGACTGTGCATGGGGCATTAATTAGGATACACACAATCCCGTCCTCAGTGAGAGTGAACAGCAGTGGCCATTTAAAAGGGACATCGTTCAACTTACCGACATATTATGGAAGAGTATCGTCATACTGGAAGGACTCCATGTTTGGTTCTATACTGAAGACTGAAGAGAGAGCCAGAGATTGTTGCTGAGATGAGGAGGAGGAGTGAAGAGTGAGGTGTATTAAAGAACTGTCATTAGCTAGTGGAATGACGTCACCTTTATGAGAACCAAGTACTGTTAGTGTATCAAGACTGGAGCCTATTAATTGAGAGGAGAGAGGAAAATAATTAATAACTAATATGAATCATTGATATTGATGGGAAGGAACTTTAAAAATTGTAAGAAATCCAAATTGAATCGGAAATAGCTCAAACTTTCTATGCAACACAATACATCAGAAAAATTTTGAAAATGCTGCATCATCTCCTTTGATTAAATTTCCTGTACTTGTAGTACAGAGACTTTGGCCCAATTTTTTGAACAACTTTAAAATTTTTTTTTAAATCCAAATTTAATTGGAACTAATCTGGTCCCTCCTCTTCGTTGCGCAGTGGCGCAACGAAGAGGCAGGGCCAGACAAAATGGGAACATGCTCAGTCTTTGATTGGATTCATCTCAGACTTCTATGCAACATAAGTACATGTCAAGCTGGTAAAACTATTCTCTCTCATAAGCGTAGGAATGATTTAAAAGTTGGGGGGGGGGGCTCAACATTAAAAAGCATGACTTAGCATGTGAACAGGGGGGGGGGGCTAAGCCCTTCTTGCTGAAAAGTTGGGG